AAAAAAAGTTGCGTAATAACATTTTTTGCAATTTCTCTAAGGCTATGTTAATATATAATAAGATTAGGTAACAATGCAAATATTTTAGTCCGTTTAAGTTTCATAAAGGGTGCGAAAGGTGCGGCAGGATAATAGTAAGGCAGGAAATAAATGCGGCTAGTCTACGGCAAAGGTGGTAGAGCTAGGGCTAAGGCTCAAACTTGGGGTCGGGTTAGGACTAGGGATAGGGCTAGGGCTAGGGCTATTGCTAGGGCTCTAGGCTAGGGTTAGGACTAGGGCTAGGGCTAGGGCTAGGGCTAGGGCTAGGGCTCTAGGCTAGGGTTAGGACTAGGGCTAGGGCTAGGGCTATTGCTAGGGCTCTAGGCTAGAGCTAGGGCTAGGGCTATTGCTAGGGCTCCAGGCTAGGGCTAGCGTTAGGGCTAGGGCTAGGGCTAGGGCTAGGGCTCTAGGCTTGGGCTAGGGCTAGGGCTAGGGCTAGGGCTAGGGCTAGGGCTAGGGCTAGGGCTAGGGCTAGGGCTCTAGGCTAGGACTAGGACTAAGGCTAAGGCTAGGGCTAGGGCTAAAGCTATGACTAGGACTAATTCACTAAAAAATTCAAGGAAATTGGCCTAATTTAGCGACAAAAGCAACAAAAATCCAATTCCTTGGCCGGTAAACAAAACAAGAGGAGAACACGTAACCATAATAATTAATTATGTGCGTAATAACAGGTGTTTTAATAAGAAAAACATGTGTAAATATAATAAACAGCTGAATATTGAATTTAAAACAAAAAAAAATATTTTCTGGGAAAAATTTTATTTTAAAATTTAAAATTTTGCACAGTAACTGATTGTTTGCTCTGTAAAAAAAATTTTTCCCATTTTTTGATTTCTAAAGAAAGTTCTTGCCATTTTATGAGCTGTAAATAAAGATTTCTCCATTTTTTGTTCTGCAAAGAAAGTTCTTGCCATTTTAGGTTTTGTAAAGAAAGTTTTCTCCATTTTTTGTTCGGCAAAGAAAGTTCTTGCCATTTTGTGTTGTAAAGAAAGTTCTTGCCATTTTTTGATTTCTAAAGAAAGTTCTTGCCATTTTATGAGCTGTAAAGAAAGTTTTCTCCATTTTTTGTTCTGCAAAGAAAGTTCTTGCCATTTTAAGTTTTGTAAAGAAAGTTCTTGTCATTTTATACCTTGTAAAGAAAGTTCTTGCCAAAAAAATAAAAAAAACATACTTCAAAGTACCATAACCAAGCCCAAAGAACGTAAAGCCTAAATTAATATCCCACCTGAAGGTATGAATAAATCCTTCAAACGAGTATAACCACATAATACGTTAATTGTCCATTCACAAATCCCCCAAAAATTTGTAAATTTTTATGAAAAGATTAAACTTTGAAAGAACTTGAGATCGAAATGTATTTTTATGCTTTAGAAAATGAGGAAAACGTGCTTTAGAAGAGAAAAAATTGAAAGAACTTTTTTTACAAAACATAACATGGCAAGAACTTTCTTTACAAAATATAAAATGACAAGAACTTTCTTTACATAACAAAAAATGGCAAGAATTTTCTTTACAAAACAAAAAAATGGTAAGAACTTTCTTTACAAGTTAAAAAATAGCAAAAACTTTCTTTACAAAACAAAAAATAGAAAGAACTTTCTTTACATAACAAAAAATGACAAAAACTTTCTGTACAAAGCAAAAAATAAAAAAAAAGTACAGTAGAACTCTTCTATGACAAACAAATTTCAAAAAATCAAATCCCCGAGCGATGCGTTATAGAAGAGTGTTAGGGCTAAGGCTAACACCGTCTCATAATTTTTAAACTAATTATACCAATTCCCTTGCCAAACCATTTTCACGAAAAGCTACAGTCCAAAAAACCGTCCGATCTCATTTCAAATCTATCAGTTTACAAAAAACAGGCTCCAAAACGGATAATCGATAACGAATGTTTATGAAGACATTTCCACCAGAATTTAGCCGAAAAAGAGCCGGGACATAATGACAAGCACACCGGCCGTAAAAGGGCCGGCTCCGATTCCAGAGAGAAAAGCCGGCTTTCTGGCCGTTCGGCGCGTCTCCACGATTCGTGCGATGCCTGTGGGGCCGCGACCGGCTCATGCGGGAAATGAGCAAAAGAGCCTCCAGAAATTAAAGGAATGCCGACCTGGGAATTAGTTACACACGGTACTGGAACTGGGGGGGGACTTAGGCTTAGGCTTCGGCTTCGGCTTAGGCTTAGGCTTCGGCTTAGGCTTAGGCTTAGGCTTAGGCTTAGGCTTAAACTTAGGCTTAGGCTGAAGCTGAGGCTGAGGCTGACGCTTAGGATAAGACTTAGGCTTAGGCGCAGGTTCGAATTCAGGTTCAGGCTCAGGTTCTGGCTTAGACTCAGGTTTAAGCTCAGACTTAGGCTTAAGTCGAAGCTAAAAATTAAAGTTGAGCGGATGCTTAGACTGCGGTTCATGCTCAAGCTCAGGCTGAGACTGAAGCTTAGTTTTAGGCTTCGGCTCAGGTTCAAGCTCAGAGGAAGGCTTAGGCTAAAACCTATATTTGCGCTAAACCTGGGGTTTATGATTAAGAATTAGGCTTATAGTTTAGCTTAGGCTTAGCCTTTTTATAGTTAGACCTATGCTCATACTTAGGCTTACTATTAAGCAAAAAGAAAAGCTTTAGATTAGACTTGGGTTTATGTTTATTATTAGACTCAGGCAAAAGCTTAAGTTTGCGATATGGCTATAGTTAAAGTGAAAAAGTCTTTCACAAAAAAATTACTAATCCAGGTAGATAGTAATAAAATTATTTTATAAAATTAAGCTCTTAGCACGAAAAAGGTAGTGGCACTGCCTTGTCAAAGGAACATCCTATTACGTTTGCAAAAGTAATCTAACTCAAGATTAAGAACATTTGCAAAAAAAGATCCATCTATAATACATATCCAAGCAGATTAACAAGACAAATTAATAATTACTGGCTAGCTACTCATAAATTTTTAAAAAATGAAAAAAAGTTTATATTGCACGTTATCAGAGCATCTTATCAAAAAACCCCCAAATTAAAAAAAAATAAAAAGTTTTAAATTTTAAAAAATTAAAATTTTTTTAATTTTTTTAAAATTTTTGAAAAAATTTTGAACTATAATCAAAAATTCAAAAACGTCAATCCAGCCGAAACCTCTTGCCATTCTCGACTCTTGGACTAAACAAGAATCGAATTCGAAAATTCAAACCGGCTCGAAGCGCTCGGTTTTCCCCTGAGGGCATATGGGAAAGTCAGGAGGTTTTCTCTAATAACAAGTCGCTGCTATTCGCTCTCTCGATTTGGCCTTCTATTTTCATGGCCATGTGATAAATTGAAACGCTTTAACAAAAAAATGATGTTATTGCGACATTTGGGAAGAACCAACAAAGACCGCTTCACTAAATTGAACTCTCGAATTTGAAACATCGGAATTCAGGAAAGAAAATTAAAAAGTCAACCTTAATGTTAATCTAGAGCTCTAGCTTCTAGATTAACAATGGCCTTAACCCCAGAGCCCTAACCCAGAGCCCTAGCCCAGAGCCCTAGCCCAGAGCCCTAGCCCAGAGCCCTAGCCCAAGAGCCCTAGCCTAGAGCCCTAGCCTAAACCCCTAGCTCAGAGCCCTAGCCCAGAGCCCTAGCCCAAAGCCCTAGCTCTAGCCCAGAGCTCTAGCCCAGAGAGAGAGAGAAAGAGTAGTGCTGAATGCAAGGGTCTAGGCACATCTATACGTGGCTTAAACGAGTATATGATCGAACGCCAGAAGTCTTATAGAGCTCCTCACCCTCGACTCAGTGAAGCGAGGAACGGTGAAATACAGAAAAGCCCAATTATAGGAAAAATCAGACTCTAGGATAGCTCCGTTAGTCTTCACCTGAACCTTGAACATTCTTGCACATCAGCACTGTACATTACAATCTACGGCATTAAAAATATCATCTAATATATATCTCCCGAGTTGTAATTGTAGACGCTTGAAGAATGTAACTCTTGTATTATGCAATGAATTTTTTGTAAATTTGTTTGACTTTCTTTTTTTTTTAAGTTTAAAAGTTAATGTTGTTTGCTGAATCCGTTGATGGATTGCACGACCACCCAGACGTTTTTTTATTACGATAAAGTTTTTTTTGTTTCCCGTTTCAAAGGGTTTTTTTAAATCCGGAATAAAAAAAAGTCCTTGTCTGGAAGTCATGAAAAAAACGATTACATGTTTGTTGACAAACCGGTTACATTTTTGTTTTAATTTTTATGTGTAAATAAAGTTCTTGCCATTTTTGCGTTGTAAAGAAAGTTCTTGCCACTTTGTGCTTTGTAAAGAAAGTTCTTGCTATTTCTTGTCTTGGACAGAAAGTTCTTGCCATTTTATGTTCTGCAAAAAAAAGTTTTTGCGATTTTTTGTTTTGTAAAGAATGTTCTTGCTATTTTTTGTTTTGTAAAGAAAGTTCTTGCCATTTCTTATTTTGGAAAGAAAGTTCTTGCAACTTCCATGAACTGAGCCACAAAATCCGGAACCACCACCCCCGGCCCTCCAAAATAGATTGACATAATGTTTTTATGCCAATCCATCATGTTTTAGAACACAAGATGCGTTGATCTATTGCACTTATAACCGGATCAAAAAGAAACATGTTGTTATCATCTTCTGCCCTAACGGGTTTTCGAACAGACATAAAAAACGGATTCCGAAGTGCCGTTCTCGCCGACACGTGTGACAATATTTGACAGTTGACATGCGAAAAGATCGAAAAAAGAACAAGTTTTAAAGATTGCGTTACCGTAGACACGTCGCAACTTTTTTGCAAAATTTATAAGGGGTTCTTGTGGTAAGGTCAGAGCTAGGTATAAGGCTAGAAGTAAGGCTGATACTTGTTTAGGGTGGGGCTTGAGCTCAAGCTTGGACTAAAGTTTATGCTTCGGCTCAGACTTCAGTTTAGAATAAGCTTGTGATTAGGCTTTTGTGCAAGCTTAGGCTTAAAATTTTGTTCAACTTGTACAGGCTTACGTTCTAGTTAAGTTTTATTTTGACTAAAGCTAAAGCAAAGGCTAAGGCTAGCTCAGGCTTAGATACTGGCTCTGGTTCTGGCTCAGGTTTAAGCTCTGGCTCAAGCAGAGCAAAGCCTAAGTCAAGACAAGGTAAAGGCAAAGGCAAGGCATAACCTAGACAAAAATCTATCAACCTTAAGCATAAGCTTAACCAGTCTAGGCAAAAGACTACTCTTTGAACTAAGCCTATATTTAAGACAATATTTAACCTTAAGCCTATTTTTCCGCCTAATCCAACTCTAGAGATTTAAATATACATGCTAAACAGATTTAAACTTTATTATATAAGTTGTCCCTGAAAGTATGATCATTTTTTGCAGACAAATCAACTTTCAAATCTGCCATTCTTTTTGAAACAACGTAATTAAAAAATGTATGTTTTGCATCACTTTTTGCTCAAGTTTCACTTGTTTTCTCAAACCGAAGAAGCCAATTCGAAAGCGCCAGAAACGGTTTCTGTTAACGACTAGTCATCCGACAATTACAACCGGTCGACCTTATGATTCCATAAGTTCGGAAGACGGTTCCGGTCACGCGACGACCCTCGTAGGTCCATAAAAAACACTTCTTTTTCATCGTGGAACCAACGATTGATGGGTCGTGTTTCATTTTGTTTTTGCGCATTTTTTGTTGCCAAAAACAAAAAATTGTTGTTGGGCGTTGACGTGGTTTGTCAACGAAAAAAATACAAAAAGAAGAAAATATACTTACTAAATGTAATTAAATAAACGAAAAAGGTATAAATACAGTGGTAGCAATTTATCAATATAGCCTTAGCCTTAGTCTTAGTCTTAGTCTTAGCCTTAGCCTTAGCCTTAGCCTTAGCATTAGCCTTAGTCTTAGTCTTGGCCTTAGCCTTGGCCTTGGCCTTGGCCTTGGCCTTGGCCTTGGTCTCAGCCTTAGCCTTAGTCTTTAAGCACCACAGAGCTGTGACTGGAACTTTAGCCGTAGACCGAAATTGAAGTTGAGTTTCAAATTCAGCTTGCTCTCGAGTTTAACCTTAAGTTTGAGTTACACCTTGAGCTTGAGTCTGAGTCAAAGCCAAAGCCAAAGCTTCAATATTAGTTTCAACTCAAGTTTGAGCTTGAGCTGTTATTCAATAAACTTTAATAATTTATTATTTGTTTTTAAATCTTTACCGCAACGGTCAAAATCTTTCACAACAACCGAATTTGTCACCAAACAGTTTTTGGTTTATATTGTAGCCCACCGACCTCCAGACGTTTTTGATCTGACCTTGTGGCTCTGGTCACATTACAGTAAGGCACGAGGCAACGATGCCACACCACGACCTTGATTCCTCGTTTTTTCATAACGCCTCCGGGGTCCAAATTCGATAACTGCTTACAGGAATGATGGATTGTTGTTGCAACATCGCCAAAAAAGTTTCTTTTTCTTGCCACCGGGTTTTTTATGCTTTCGCTTTTGATTGATTTCCTGGACAAAAATGGCGCTATAAACAAGTTTGTTTTGGCTCAACATAACAACATGTGATATTCGTACTGTATTTGTGGCTATTTTGTAACGGTTGGTCGGTGATTTTTTAAGCTTACTGTAGGGTTTTTTTGGGTTTTATATTTTTCTCACGACAGGTAAACTTACAGGAATTATGGACCTTGAAAATTGATTTTATCACGGAACATAGGCTTAGGGTGAGGCTGAAGCTTATGCTCAGAACATGGCTTAGACTTAGGCTTAGGCTTATGCTTAGGCTTAGGCTTGGGCTTAAGCTTGGGCTTGGGCTTGGGCTTGGGCTTGGGCTTGGGCTTATGCTTAGGCTTAGGCTGAGGCTTAAGCTTAGACTTAAGCTTAGGCTTTATCTTTTCTGCATAATTTAACTTTTAGGTAGGCTTAGGCTTAAAAAGGCTTATAGAATTAGTTTTATAAACTTTTTTTTGTATTTCTTAGGGTAAAAATCATAAAGAAAAAAATGATGTTAGTGTGCTATTCTAAAATAATATATTTCGTTTGCTCACGTTCGTTTGTTTTGATTAGAATACTGTTTTTCTTAAATTTATTAGAATAAAATTATAATTCAATAAGCTAACATTTTAGTTCCGATCCTTAAATAAAACTTTGTACTTTGATGTTAAAATTTCATTTGACATTTTTTAAGGTTTTTTAAGCTTAGGATGAGCTTTGGCTTATGATTACGCTTAAACTTAGAATCTTGAGTTGGGGCTTTAACTTAGGGCATATGCTTAGGCTTAGACTTATGGTAAACCTGAGGTTTCTCTAGTTTAGGCTTTTAAAAATTAGTTTTTAGGCTTAGTGTGATCAAAGATAATTTTAAAAATTGGCCTTAAAATTTTTTTTTGTTATCTTATTAATATATATTCTTTGATATTATAATTTAATTTTAGTTTTAAAATTGTTATCCACGCTTTTACATAGCATATTTAGAATGCTAACTAACATTTTGTAATTGAAATGCAATTATTCAATTTATAAAACATTATAATTGAATTTCAAAATGAAATCATTTTTTGCTTCTTACTTATATCATCATAGACTGAGAAACATAAATATCATTTTTAGTGTAATATCCGAAAATTCTTAAAATATCCGTTTGAAATTAAAAAATTTTTACTGATTTTATAAATATTCTTTAATTTGAAATAATGCGTCATACCTTTTGATTTTATTAATAAGATGGAAATAAAATGAATGCTTTGATTACTGTATGATCTTGTTTTTTTATGACTTGTTTTCCTACTGTAACATATTTTTAATACTTTGCCTATTTAAAGAGATTTGAAGTTAGATCATATGTATATGACAATATATTATGATCACATAGTGACGTAAAACCCGATTGCGCTAGCAAAACGTCATTAAATGTAGTTTACTTGTTTCAAGTTGCAATCCAGTTTGCTAGCCGAACTCTTTTTTGTTTAGCCTGGCACGGCTGATCACTCAACTTGGTAGATTTTTATTGGTTTTTGGTTAAAATTTACTTTTTTAAAATTTTTTTTGTTATTTTACGGTAACAGAATTTATATTTTTAGTAGTTTTTCAATTTCACAATGTTTTTTATAACCTATCATGTGCATATTGCCAGTATGCTATCACGTAGCCACATACTTGTAGGCGTGACGTTGTGACATACGTGAATAATCACTCTTACCCAATCTTTGCTCTCGAGACAATAACAACAACAAACACACACATGAAAACTACAGTAGGTTTCTCATTAAGGTTAGTGCAAACGCTAATCATCATATTAAACATGTTGTAATTACTTGTATGCAATGTTTTTCTGTGCCAGCCTGAGGAAAGGCAATGTCTGGGTAAACACGAAAAAGGACAGCTACAGATATGAGTTACAGTACTTTGGCTTTAATTGAAATGAGGTGAAAAAAGGTTAAAGCTAGTAAGGATATAAGATGAAACAGGACATAAAAACACAAAGCTGGCCACTTTTTTTAAATTATCGTTAGCAAACAACTTTGCGCAGTAGAAAAAAAAATACAGTGGAACTCCTGTATAACGTAACTCCTTTATAACGAACAACTTATAAACCGTCGTCTACCACTACACAGTGCATTAAAAACTCCTCTATAACGAAACTTATTTATAACAAACAGATTTTAAGTTTTCGAGCGATTCGTTATACAAAAGTTCCACTGTAGTATCAAGGCGGACATTTTCCTAAATTCAGCATTGTAACTTTCTATCAGTAAAAAATTTTGTCACCAGTCTTAGTTTTCAAGCCACCGTAGAATTGTCGTAAGCTGAAGCAAGCGTAGCTAATCAAGCATTTTTTCTAGTTTTCAGTCCTTGATGAGTTTTAGTATTCGTTCCGTTTGAAAATATAAAGTAGTTTGCCGGTCTGAGCACTGAATTTCCAACAAGAATTTGTTACTAAAATTACTTGAGTTATTCACGTTTCCATCAACTAAAAATCACTTTCCTATATGTCGCAATAGTAAAAAGTAATCCCAACAATATTGGAAACGTTTTCCAACGTGACAAACCGGCTCTTACCCGATCTTATGTCATCCGAACTACAATATTGCTTAAGGGCATAGAGTTGAACAAACGTCTAGAAATTGTTTTCGATCTTTGCAAGTAATATTTTTTGTAAGAAATAGTGAGAAAAACAAGTTATTAGCGCTGAAAAGGTAGACCTACAGGTTTGAACGGGATATTACTTTTGTGGTTATTGGTGCATAATTACTTTCTTTTGTACTTTTTGCAAATTTTAATAGGTGTGACGTGTTGAGGTGTTTTTTGCTTTTGGTTGTGAAGTATTATATTTGCGTAGTGTAGGCATGGTAAAATATTTTTGATAATAAGGGTAGTTTTTTTTAAATAATGAACGGTGTTTATGGAAGTACTCTTGGCGGACGGTCGGTCGTCTTTGGATAAAGAAGCAAAAAGTGTTGTATATAATTTTCCGTGAATAATGTTGGACCGCACTCATGGCCGACCTTTATTGAGAAACAATCATCGAATAATTATATGTCTTGGGGACCGCACACTTGGCAGACGGTCGATCGTTTTCGAATCGTGTACCCTTTGAGCTCTCTGATCTAACTTATCGTGATTTAGCAATAAACCTTTCATCACGTAAGCACCCTTATATTGACTCAACTATAAACCTTGTTTACAAATGTTTTATGAAACTTTACCTAGATTCTTTGAAATAAATTAGCGAGCTGTTTTTGACAAAAACAACATTGAATTTATTTACAAAAGGAAAAGTTGTAATAAAAGGGGAAAGTAGGTTAGTGATTGTAGATCAAAAGTAAAAACAACTGTACTTTATCACGGTAACTTTGACGTGAGAACTAGACATGTAAAGGTCAGGCCTTGGTTTTGTCCCGGCTCTCAGGCTGAGGTGTCTTGGTCGATCTCTTGCAAATTAGTTAAACTTGGCCCGGCCCACGCCATGTTTTAAACAATTTTTTGGCTATTACAAAAATTTCAAAAAATTTTTGTTAAATCGTTGCAGTTGGTTAAGCAATTAAAATTTGAAAAGTTTTGGCTACTGTAAAACTGATTTTTTTGGTTATCCACTTTTATTTTTTAAAAATTGTTTTCAATGTTACTTTACAATAAGAATTCATCATTTAAAATTTAAAACCATTAAAATCGTTTCAAAATTTGCCCCGAATAAGTTCGATCTCCGATTTTTGTACTTGTACACCAAAGTTCGTAACATTGTTTTTTCGAATTGGTGTAGTAAATTACCGTCAATAAAATAGCAAATTGATGACTTTAGTAAGGCAGGTATGTAACGTCGATGAAAGCAATATATTACGTATGTAACGTTGATGACAATAACAAATTAGGTTTGTAACGTTGATGACAATAATAAATCGTATACTTGGTATTGATTACATCGATCGTCAAGTACATGTTTTTGTTTATTTGGGTCGGAAGTTTCAATTCCGTTGTATGTCGTACAAAAAACAAAGGCCGAAAAACAAGTAAGACTAAAGTGAAGAGAAACATGGTTTTTGAAGAATTGAACGTATATTGAGCAAACTAGGAGGTTGTTACTGCGTCGTACAAAAGAGAGATTAAACAACAGTTGATACAGTAACAGTGTAAATAAAAGTTGTAACGTATTTTGCTTCTTAACAATTTATATTAGGTGCCGACAAATAAAATTGTTACCTAAAATACTAGGTGCCGACATAAAGAACCCGTCATTTTTTACAGGAAATTACAGGAAACGTATGGCGGGTTCTTTATGTCGGGACCTAATACATTCAATGGGGCTAAAACTACTGCAAACAGAATAAATTTTAATCCTCAAAAAATTTGTTATAGAGGTGGCCTATTGTATTTTATATTTTGACTCTAGCACAGTTTCAAGGAAGTAAAAGGTCATAACGTGTAATTTGTTGACAAATGAATCGTCGGTTTTTGTAAATTTATAACTAACAGTTGGGTTCTGGAAATTTCGTCTATGTCCTTGATTGCTTATAATGACGCCGCGGTAAATTCGCTTAAAATTTACTGTAAAAAAGAACACGTTAATGGTAACTGCTCACTTCTTTAAAAGCGAAATAGTTTGCAAAAACTTTGTTTACAAAAGAAACATTTTGTTGGGTTTGAAGTGCCAGCCGTTTTTTCGCGGGTCCCAGACGATTATGCAAATTAATGATTACGGAACAGTGCCAGGAAGTACCCGTATTCGAATAACCATCATCTAACTGACATTTACGGTTATTTGGAATGTCAGTTATTAATTTTTAAGAGGTCAAGTCGTTGTTTTTTATACTGTGGGTTCTTTATATATACAATCTCTTTTATCAAAAGTTATCTTTACTTATACTGGTTTTAAATTTCTGTTGCGTAC